TCATTTTTACTACATGCCATTCTATACCCTTTTAAAATGCAGCAATACGCCCTGGAGATCGTTCCATCTCAGAACTTACAGAACATTACCTTTTTCACGGGTGCATAGTATTCCATTTGCAGCTGTACCATCCTCTATTTAATCAGTTCCATCTGTGCCATTTCTAATACTTTTACTATCTCAACACTTCTGTGATGAGGACTGTTTTTATACCCCTCTGCTTTTACATATGTGATAACATAGCTGCAGAATACATTTCTAGGAGGAGAATTGCTGTGGCAGTCGGCACATACAGTTTAAATCTTATTAAGTATTGCCAGATCACTCCCTAGAGAGAAGGCTCCGGTTTGTCCTCTCACCAGTGTGTAAGGTGACTGTCCTCATTGCCCTTCACACAGTAGGTCATGAGACTTTTTTCATTTTTTCAATCTGATATGATCATAATTCTAACCTTCGCTTCTTTTATTATGAAGATTAGCACTTGTAGCTCCAAAAGTTAATCCTCGTTCATAATCCAGATATTTCAAGGCTATTTGTATTTTCTGTTCTGTGACTTCTTCATTCATATCTTTGGGTATCTTGTTTCTAGTGAGTTGCTGGTGTTTTGAGCGATGTCTTGTAGGAATGTTTTTATGTCAAGATATCTAGCCTTTGTGACCTGAGTTAGATATATGTCTCCTAGGTTGGCTTTGTTGTTGAGCCAGAGTCTCACTCTGTCACCGAGGCCAGAGTGCAATGATGTGATCTCAGCTCACTGCAACCTCTGCCTCCCAAGTTCAAGCAATTGCCCTGCCTCAGCCTCCCGAGTAACTGGGATCACAAGCACATGCCAGCACAGCCGGCTAATTGGTTTTTTGTTTTTTTGTTTTGTTTGGTTTGGGTTTTTTTGTATTTTTAATAAAGACAGGGTTTCACCATGTTGTCCAGCCTGATCTTGAACTCCTGACCTCAAGTGATCTGCCTGCCTCGGCCTCCCAAAGTGCTGGGATTATAGGCGCAAGTCACCGCGCCTGGCCTAGCTTGGCCTTTGACTTTGCTTCCAAGACTTTCTGCCTTGTGGACATTTTTTGGGTTTATATGGTTGGATCAGGCCTGTCTTTTGTGGCTTCTGGATTACGAACCATAGGTGGAAAAGCCTGCCCTCTCCAACGCTAGAAAGGAATATTCCCACGTTTTCTTCTAGGATTTTTATAGTTTTCTTAACCTGTAAAATCGTTGATCCTTTTGGAATTCATCCTGGTCGATGCTGAGGCAGGGATCCAATTTCATTTTCTCGTGGCAGCTAGCGGTTATAACACATCTCCCCCTGCTGTTCCCAGGGGTTCAGGTGTGGAGGCCCTGGGGAGGGGGCTAGGCAGCGATTTGGGGAGGCAGATCACCAGGTGGAAGGCACCACTGGGTTCGGGCCTTTGTCTTAGGAACAAGACGGTGAGGAGGGAAGTGCCAGGATCAGATCTGCGTTTTGAGAAACGTGACCCTGGCCCCAGTATGGGAGACGGGGGTGGTGATGGGGCGTCATTCTTGAAGCCATCTCTGGTCCCAGGTGCACCCATCTCATTGCTAGTCGGTGCCAGCCCCTGGGTCACCAGCCCTCTCTCCCACAGTGCTTCTGGGTGAATTCTTATGAATCTTGATAGCCACATAGAAGCCCCTTACACAGCCTGGCGTCTGGACTCCGTGGCCTCCTCTCCCCTGATAGGCTTGGCCTCCTCTGACCACAACCTCTCCCTCCCGAGGTCTCTCCCGATATACATGCAGCATCCACAAATTCTCAGTTCACAAATTCCAGCCCACTCCCTCTCCCTGACCCCTACAACCCTTCCGTCTCCAGCCTTCGGATCCATGGATCCCAGCCCCTGGCCCCTCACCCCTCCAGCTGGAATCCTGCCAGCTGCCCCATGCCAGACCTCCCTGCTCCTCCCTCCTCCCTCGGTCCCACTCAGCAAAAGCCCCACCCCGGACTGAACCCAGCCCCCTCCACATGCTCCACTCCAGTGTGTACCGATTACCCAGCTGGAGAGGAACGCCCCCGGCCCCCATGGCTCTTTCTGCCGCCTGGCTGAGGCCACATTGTCCAACCCATTCAACCTCTCCCGCTCAGTCCGCCAACGCCTCCTGCACTGTCATCACCTGAGGCTGACAGCCTTGCTTCCTGCTTCACTGGGAGAGTTGGCACGATCAGAAGAGAACTTGCCTGAACTCCCACCTCCATGGCACGTGCCTGGCAGCACCAGGCACTCTTCCTCCTGCCGTCTCCACAGATGGACTGTCCAGGCCCCCATCTGTGCCAGCGCCAGGAGCCAGCCCTTCTCACATCCTCAAGAACGTTGCTCCAGGAGTCTCCCCTTCTCCCCCGACGCCGAATCCTCTCTCTCTGCTGGACCACTCACATCCTACAAACGCGTGGCCATGTCACTCATCCTAAAGAAATACCCATCGCCAGGCCCCAGCCCCACAAAGCCACTGTTCATTTCCTCCCCTTTGCTGCAGAGCTCCTCAAAAGCACCCACTGTCCGCATCCCTCACCCCCCTTCTCTCTGAATCCCTCTCCCATCAGACCCCACTCCTGTCACTCCCTAGACATGCCTCTGCATTGCTGCGTCCAGTTCCTGGTCTTCTTACCTGGCCCATCTGCAGGGCGGTTCCTTTGCCCCGTGCACAGCGATCGCTCCCTCCTGGGACACTTTCTCTACTTCGCTTCCAGGACTTCCTGATCTTCTCTTTACGTCCAGCCGTGCCACGTGTGCCCAGCTTCTGACCCCTTCAGCCGAGCCTGTCCCACCACTATCTCCCCACCGCTGTTGATGGCAGCCCCATCCTTTCAGTTGCTCAAGCCAAAACTAGGGAAATCCTTTGGCTGTGCTGTCAGAATCAATCCAGAACCCAACCACGTCCAGCACTTCCACTGCCACCACCAGCTGTGAGCCACCGTCCTCTCTCCTCTGCACCATGCGGTAGCCTCTGCGTTCTACCCCTGCCACCCCACACCGGGGGATCTTTAAAATGTGAGCCAGGTCACATCCTCTCTCTGCTCAAGGCCGTACCCAATTGCCCCACCTCATTGCCCCTCTGAAGCCGCCTCCCACTGTTTCTTGCTGTGAGGGAGAGAGCGGAGGAAGGGCAGAAATAGAAGGGGTGTGCGACCAAGGTATGGCTTTGCCATCCGAGGAATTAGAGCGTGTTTCAGAGCTGTTGGGCAGGACTTGTGTGAGAGGGCAAGTGTGACTGAGATCCAGAGGGACTGTGGATGGGGCCAGGCTCTGGGCAATACAGAGGGGACAGTGGCCTAATTGAAGGTGGGTCAGTTCCTCTGAGTTAACCTGAAGGCATGGAGAGGAGGGCAGGTGCAGGAGCAGGTGTGGGTGCAGGTGCAGGAACAGATCGAGGGGGAGTGGCAGGTGGAAAGGCAGGTACAGGTATAGGCATAGTTGCAGATGCAGGTGCAGGCACAGGGGAGGTACAGATGCAGGCGCAGGCTGAGGTGCAGGTACAGGCACAGATGTGTACAACCGGTGTTGGAAAGACAATGGTGAACCTATCCGGCAGCTTTTGTTTGCTTTGGAAAATAGGAATCAAGGTCATTTTGAGGAGTCAGCTCGATGGGATGTCCAGGTTGCCAGCATCTTGCTCTGCTCTGCCTCTGATCTAGACTTGGGGAAACCACTGTCCCCCATGTCATCATTCTTGGGTATGAGTACATCAGTGTTTCAAGCCAAAAATCCTTGTCATCTCTCTCCTTCCTCTATGTACCGCTACCGTGCGAGCCCCGTCTCTCCTCTGACCAACATCTCCTGAGTCTCCGTTCCCCCCTTCACCCACCAGCACCTGCACAGGGACACCTCGGTGCATCTCCAGGTGCACTCTTGTCCCTCCCCATCACTCCTCCATGCAGAACCCTTCACTGACTCCCCTTCACCCTTAGAACCAAGCCCCCCAGACCATGCCATGGAAACAAACCCCCAGGCTTGGCCGGCCCTGCCTTCTCTGGCCCTCCCTCGCTGCAGCAGCCTTCACTTCTCCTGGCTCCTCAAAAGCCCATGATCTTGGCATGTTCTGAGCTTGTCCATCTCTGCAACACTCCTCCCTCCTCTTTTCTCACCCTCTGGACTCGGCCCAGCCTGGGTCAGGGCCCTTGTGCTGTGCTTGGAGCTTCCTGGCCTTCTCCCTGTGTAGATGTCCTCTTCGGGATCTGTCTGCTTCATCAACATTCATGAGTCAGGGCTCTTGCCTCTTGCACTCACTACTGGTCCCGTTAGTTACCCCCATGGCACCTGGCTCATAGTTGGGACGTATAAATCATGCTGGTCACTAACTACTGGGTGCTGCCTCCCTGTGTAACCTTGAGTGAGGTTTGGGGTCTGGTTTGCCAGCGGCGTGGCTCAGTGCACAGCGCCTAGGGCTGGTAGAGTTGGGAGACCTCCTTCCATCCAGCAGGCGCTGACTCCACCCCTAATCAATGATGTGGCCCCACACAAGTCACGGCTCTGTGAGCCTCTGCGTTATCCGCTGTCCAATGGAGATGTTCATCAGACCTCTCACGAAAGCTGGTTGGGAAGGTCAGATGCAATAATGGGTATGCTACATGCCTTGCAAGCTGTGAGGTGAAGCCCCCGTGGGCCTCATCAGGGTTCTCTGTGAGCCCTCATCTGGTAGCCAAGTCTCAGCCACAGCCCCAGCCCCTGCTACTCCTCATGCATTTCTAACCCTGGGGCTGGGCAGCAGGAACCCCTCCCCCAAAAAAGCCTGTTCAGCCACACCCATCTGCTGTTCCTCCCAGTATTCTCTCTGTCCAAAACGTTTGCTCCCCCTGTTCTCCCCTCAGGAGAACCAGAGCTTGTTCTTTAAGTAGGAACAAGTTCCGATTCCTACTCAGCGCGAGAACCCGAAGCTGCCTGGTGACATGAGTGCCTGCACCCATGCCTGTGGGAATTGTCACCACCAACCCCGGGACCACCCCGGGCTCTCCAAGAGCAAAGGTGCCCCTTCTGCTCTGCCCCCAGCTCCAGGCCATGGCAGGAAACAGCCATGGCAGCATCAAAGCCTTCCAGGGAGGGGTGGCCAGGAGCCGCGCTGAGGATGGGCGAGGGGACTCTGCCTTCCACGCTGACTGTGGCTTCTCTGCTTGTTTTGCAGGTCCTCCAGTAAGTGTCCTGGACTGTGCTGTCTACTTCTGAAAGATAAGATGTTCGGTTTTCTCTCTGTTGCAATTCCATGAACATAATTTTGGTTAGGGAGGTGTGTCCTCAAAAAAAATCAGTCCTATTAAAAAGTGGCCAGGCATAGTAGCGCACGCCTGTAATCCCAGCACTTTGGGAGGCCAAAGTGGACAGATCACTTGAGGTCAGGAGTTCGAGACCAGCCTGGCCAACATAGTGAGACCTCGTCTCTCCTAAAAATACAAAAATTAGCCCGGCGTGGTGGCGGATGCCTGTAATCCCAGCTACTCGGGAAATCAAGGCATGAAAATTGCTTGAACCCAGGAGGCAGAGGTTGCAGTGAGTCGAGATGGTACCACTGCACTCCAGCCTGGGCAACAGACAGAGCAAGACTCTGTCTCGGAAACAAAAACCAAAAAATCGTGTGTTTGGGGGGAAAAAATCAGTCCTATAGAGGAGTCATGTTGTTTTTTAATTTGTAGATGAATGCAGGCACAGAATTCCACAGGCCTGACCTGCTCACTGAAACGTTCTGTGACCATTTTCCTAGCAAGAGAGCCAGCGCACAAGCCTGGCTGTTCCTTGCCAAATCTTGGGCTCCCCTTGGTACACAGAGATGCTAGCGCCATGCCCATAGGTTTAAAATGCTCTGTGGCAGTTGATGTTTCTAAATGCTTCAGTGCCCCGTGCTTTGGCAGAAAGGGCTGTAGAGTCGGGCAGTTGTCCCAGGAATGAGTCGGGCTTGACCACTAGACCCTGGGGTTCATTTTTCTTCTTTGCCAGAATGTGGATCAGACAGCTGAGACCTTACGAGCACAGCTGGCTGGTGAGGGCGTTGCATGGGAGCAGGAGGGAAATGTCACTGCATTTGTGAGGGGTGTGAAGGGTATGAGGGAAGCACTGGGCGGCTCCCTTGAACTTCTGGCCGGCCAGAGGCAGCTTTGAATGCAGGGATTGCACGTGGCCCTAGAAATCCCATTCATCCTCCAGGGCAAAGGATGCGCCTGCCTTTGATTCACGCTGTCAGGTTTTCAGAGCCCGATAAATCCCAACTAATCCATTCAGAAGCACACTGACAGCCAGCCAGAGCCCAAACCAGCCTGCTCAAGGAATTCCTTTCAGATGAACCATTTTATTTTTTACTTCCACATACCGTGATTCATTTCCCGGTCGGTGCCCTTCGGAATCTGGGCTTCTCGGTGCATGTAGCCCCACCGTGAGCCAAGCAAGCCAACAGGATTGTGTCGGTTTATTGGCCTCAAGCGATGTTTGGCAGCAGAGCCCCTCCTGGCTGTCTCAGGGAGGCTGGCCTGCGTGAACTTGCGGAAGTACCTAACGCCAGGGGCTATGGAGTGGTTTTTGTTTGTTTTTTGTTTTTTGTTTTTCTTTTAACTTGGCAGTGAAAATATTAAATGGATTAAACAAATGCAGAAATTCTCGAGCTGCAAAACCTGCAAGGGTCTGACCGGGGAGATGGTGCCACACTTTGGCACCCAGGCAGGGTGGTCACTGCTCCAGGGACCAGAACGAGGGGGCAGAGAAGCCTCCAGCCACAGTGAACACTCCCCATAGTCCTGGCTTCTAAGGTTCGCTTTCTTGGTTCACCCCATCCCAGTGGCAACTGAGAGGAAACAGGCTGACTTCCAGGCCTCTCGCAGGCCCAGTTTAAGGAGCATTTGCAGTTCCTGGCTGGGTCATGTGGCTGTGGCTCCACCCTCCAGAACCCCACGTCCCCACGTGACATTTACCCTATGCCTGGCCAGCGTGGGGAGGACATTCATGTGACTATGTCTGGGACCCTGATGAAGCCCCGAGGCTCCTGGTCCCACCAGCCTGGCCCTCCGAGGCAGGAAAGGGCTGCTCTGCCCCCAAGACTGCTGGAGCCCTTGAGTCCTCCCCTCAGAGCAAGTCACCAGCCAGCTGTCGGGGGGTGGTGTGGGACTGGGCCCTGATTGAGCTCTAAGTGCTGCCATATGGTTTCTGCCGAAAGTCTGATTATTAATGATGTATTAATTACCACAGGGGCAATCAGGACGCGATGGCTACCCGGTAATTTGTCATTTATTTTTTGCTCTCTTCGCCCTCTTCTCTTAAACCAATATTCTTTCCCTGAGCCTTGATTTAACTCTGTCTGCGCTCCTGTCTCCTCCTCTGCTCCTCAGCAGTAGTGGCCTTTCTGTGGAGGGGGTTAGCGTGAGCTCCGGGGAGATAAAGGCTGCACAGATCTCCAGGGCTGCCCTGGAGGCAAAGCAGAGCACCTCGCTCGGGTGTCTGGGTGGCACTGAGTCCACCTAGCACTGCTTCTTCAGTAAGTCCAGCCCCCGCACTGTGGTGTGCTCCACTGGACAGGCTGGGCCTCTTCCCAGTGGGCAGAGGACCTGTCCCAGCCACCGCTCCTCGTCGTCACTCGATAACAGGAGACTGGCTGGTTCCAGTTTGGCCTTGTGGTGTCATCCCTTGGCAGATCTCTTTAAATGAACCCAAAAGTTAGCGCATTCTTGGAATAGACGTCCCAGCCCAGGCCAAGTGAGTGCCACATCAGCAGCAAGGCACAGTGTGGCTGTGCCACCGCCAGGTCCTGCGCGGGGGTTGAGGGTCATGGCAGCAGCATCCGGAGGTCCTGGGACATCGGAAAGAGCAGGGGGATCCCAGCAGAAGAGGAGATTGGCAGGGCCAGCAAGGGAGGGGTAGATTCATTCTGTGCCTCCAGGGCAGGAAGACGCAAGGAGGGAAATGCTGGCTGATTCAGGGGCTAGATCTGTGCAGTCAGGACGGCTGGCAATGAAGAGGGGTGGTCCCTGGTCCTGCAGTGGAGGAGAGGAGTCCAGACCCAGCACCAGGGAGACTTGGCATAGGGGGTCCACTCTGCTTCCTCCTGGCTGAGTGACCTTAGAGAAGGTGCTCACCTTCTCTGAGCTTTAATTTTCTGCTCTGTGAATGCAGAGATGAAGGCACAAAATGTGTCACAAACGCACCCTCCAGGACTTGGTGGTAACTCTGCGGAACACTGACTTCATGCCAGAGTGGCCCCGTACTGGGCTGAGTCAAGTTTGGGATCTCCCAGGCAGTCAGGGCAGCTCCCCCAGCAGCAAACAGCCTGGCCCCTCAGACTCCGCGGGAGTAAGAATGCCATGTGAAAAACAGCCGTGACCACCCTCATCCCACGGCACACACTGGGGTTAGGGCCCTGCCACCGTCCCCAGCTGCTCTTCTGACTAGGCAGGGGTCAGGCTTCCGTCTCCTGGGCACGGCAGCCTGGACCTTTGGGTGTCCAGCGTCTTGAGGAAGCACAGGCTTTTGCTGCAAAGTTCAGCCCCGTGTCTTGGCATTATTCGCTGTACCAGCACCAGCCCGGGAGGACCGGAGACTAACAGAACCACTCCTGGCACGACCCAGTTCCCTTCGCCCCGGTTACTCTGTATTCACAGGTCCAGAGGGGAGAGGGTGGGGAGTGGGCGAGCAGTTTCCATCCCCTCTTGTCCATTGTTTCCTCTGAGCAAACAGTGACCCAGTGGTCCACAACCTCGAGCATCGGAGAAGATGCTGCCTGCGTACCCGGGAGAGGGGCGGGGGCTTGTTCTCAGCCACACCAGAGCAGCTGCCAGGGTCTGCGTCCCACAGAGGCCTCTTGTCCCTCACTCCTTCCTCCCGGGACCCAGCTGGGTGGGGTGGGCAGCTGGCCCTGCGGCCGACAGGCAGGAGGCTGGGTGTGGATTAAGTAGCTGGGCATGGTTCTCATCTCTGCAGCTTACTCGCTGTGAAGCCTTGGGAAAGGAAAGCCCCTTGGCTTAGAGCACCCAGAACGTGAGTCAAGGCAAACCCGGAGCTGCTGTCCCTGGGGCCGTGACAGGACTGTCGGGAATTAAAGATGAAGTTGAGTGTGGAGGTGGTATCGGGCTCCCTCACACCTGGGCCTGGCCTGGAGAAAGAGCGCTGTCACTGTCGGGGCTGGGAACGGAGAGATGAATGTGTGTGGAGTCCCGCGGGTCCCCCTCAGGCTTGACACTGGGAGTTTTCTTGGAAGGAAGAGAGTTGGGGTCCAGCAAGCCCCCCCACTTCCTGTGTGTAGGCAGCTCTGGCAGCCGTGCCCCTGGTCCTACCAGCAGCTCCCCAGTCACTGGGAAGCCTGAGCAGGCTGGGCCTGGTGAGGGGTGAGGGGACCCTGTCAAAGTCTCTAGGAAGCTGGTATCACAGCCCATGATGGCCTTCTTCCTGAGGTCACCCAGCCCCAGCTTACACACAGACCTCCATTTCCACACGGAGGTAGGTGTCTTCCCTGGGTGGGCTGGATTCAGGGCATTCATGTGGCCAGCACCAGGAGCAAGCCCAGCTGTGCGCCTCCAAGCCCCTTGTTCTCACACCGCCACCCGGGCCATTCCTTCTGCGAGACCCACAGGGTGGGGCAGACACCCCGCTCAGCTTCCCCTGCAGGAGGAAAAGCAGCCGCATTCGAGGAAGGGGGGATCTTTTGCAGGCTCCCGGGGCCCAGGTCCTGAGCAGAAATTCCTATCTCTTGGCCTGTGGAGGACAGGAGGGCTCTGCCCAGCTCTCAGCCTGAGGTATATTTGCAGATGGCTCCATGTGGTCATCCCAGAGGCTAGGGTGACTGCCTCCTGCCGAAGGGCCTGGGCCGCCTCCGAGGCCCGTCATGTGCAGAGGACACCGTGGCTTTGAGTCAGTCACCTGCGTGGACTTGGGCCGGCTACTTGACCTCTGGGGCCTGGGGAGATGACACCTGCAGAGCTGGGGTTAAATGAGTGTCAGGCACAGAGGCCACATCCAGTCCTGTGTGTGGCAGCCCTTCCGTAAATACCGCCGTCTTTCCTCATCGTTGACAGTCTCAAGAGAAGAAAAGATGGGTTTCAGAAAGCGTTCTAATCTACTCAGTATAAAATTGCAATATTTGGAAAAACAACTTAGAGAATGGTCAGTTTTAGAAAAAGGTTTTGTTTGTTTGTTTTCGTAGCTTAGTAACTTCTGGACCGGCCTCGGGGAGGACTTATTTTTCTTTCTCTTTGTGCCAGTGTCTTATCCCTTTGTAAGAGCGAGGATAGAGTCCGGCCGGGGGCGGTGGTGGAGACTGTCGGTGCTTTTCTGTATTAACTCAGGCCAGTCCCCTCAGCTGAAGCCAGGTCCGTATGTGGACCTGATAGGAGTGGCTGGAGGACACGGGGCATAGAGGCCACCCACATCTGTGGGCAGGTTGTGGACTTGAGGAAGTCAGAGCCGACAAGGGCCCGGCTCGCCCTGTCCATGCCCTCCTTGTACAGAGGCTGGCCTGTCCTCTCTGCTCCCAAGGATTCATTAACAGCCTCTTCTGATTACAACAAAAAGCATGTTTATTGTAAAACATTTGGACAGTAGAGAAAAACACAAGGAAAAAGCATCTCTAATTCTGCCACTCACAGATAAGTCCTCTTATCTTGGTGATTGTTCTAATATTTCTTATATGCAAGTTTGCTTTTATATTTATTGCCTTTAAAATAGAATTACAAGTGCCTTCTTAGCACAGTAGGCAGCACGTTAGTCTCATAATCTGAAATACAATTATATTGGACTTTTTTTGTACTATTTTTTTCACTAAATATAGCATGAGACTTTTCCGCATCATTAAAAATCCTTAGAGAATGTAATGGCTACATTGTATTTGTTCCGATATATCATTTATTTAACTAGTCTCAAAGTTAAATTATTTATATTGACAATTTTTCACCCTTACATTCAACATCCTGGGAATAAATATAGCTTATTTCCATGATTATCTCCTTAGAATAAATAACTAAAAGTGGAATTGCTGCACCAAAGGGTTTGCACATGTTTAAGGCTTTTGATGTGTATTGCCAAATTGCCCTCCAGGAGACTGTACTAATTTACATTCCCACCAACAATGAATAAATGCTGCATATTTCCCCAAATGCCGGCCAACTGTGGGTATTATACTTTTAAAACTACGCCAATATAAGTTTTAAAATATATGCATATATGTATGAATATTGTTTTAATTTAGGGCGTATTTTAATTAGAAGTAGTCAGAGATTAAGCTAGTTTTGATAAGGTTTGTGTAATCCTGTCACCTCGTGGTAAAGGTTGGAATTGCAGGCATAGAGTTTAAAGAGGAAATCACCCGTGTTTAAGACCTTTTGGATCCCAACTGGTCCAGGGACAGAAGACATCATGGAATCAACAGCATAGGGATAATGCTTAACTCAGAACATTGTGAATCAAAGGTTGGGCCTTCAGAGGAGCCCTAGGCGCAGCACGCTTGCATTTTGGGGTAGAAATCAGTATTTATGTTGATAAAGTGATTTTGCCGTCTCAGAAATAGGAGGCTTGGCTGTGTTCAACAAATCTGATGGGTGTCATACCCTGGCCTGGGCACTGGGGTAGCACAAAGATGGATCAGGCCCAATCACAGTCTTTGGAGAACCATATGGGAATGGGAGGTTGCCCTGGGAGACAGAGAAATGAATAATTAGAAGCTCAATGTCATCTTCCTGGAGGTATCTTGTTTATTACAAGCCCTTTTTTCTTCTCTAAGCTGACTTCTGACTAAGATGAAAGCACCTGTCACTCATGCAGGGCTTAATCTTGCCTAAACTTTGACTTTTACACAGAAAACATTAGACCTTCTCATCTCCTATTTACAATGTCACAATGTTGGCTTTTCCTCTTCTTTGGTAGTTTGATTGTCTTAACTCTTAACATTAGGCTTTAGTGACCTTCTGGTTTGTTTTACACATTCAGAAACCTATTTAAACGTTTCTTAGATATCATTTAATGTGCTGTAAAGGGAATAAAACAAGGATATGATGAGAGTGTTGGCTGGGTGAATGGACAGGTACAATTTGGATTAAATAATCAGAAGGCTTGAAGTGAGATTTAAATGATGAAAAAGCTGCAGAGATCTTGGGGGAGATCCCGGCAGAGGAAAAAGCAAGTGCGCAGGTCATGAAGTTGGAGCAAGCTTTGTGTGTTCAGGTACACTCAAGGTCAGTGTGGCAGAGTGAGTGAGCAGGTGACAGGGAAACAATAGAAGGTGAAGCCAAAGAGGTCTCCCAGAGCTGCACCAAGTAGAACCAAGACAGAGGCAAGGGCTGGGGGATGGGACTTGACTCTGTGTTTATAGAAATCACTTGTCCTGGCTGGGCGCGGTGGCTCACACCTGTAATCCCAGCACTTTTGGAGGCTGAGGCGGATGGATCACTTGAGGTCAGAAATTTGAGATCAGCCTGGCCAACATGGTGAAACCCCACCTCTACCAAAAAAAAAAAAAAAAAAGCAAAAACTAGCTGGGTGTAGTGGCACATGCCTGTAGTCCCAGCTACTTGGGAGGCTGAGGCAGGAGAACCACTTGAACCCAGGAGGCAGGTTGCAGTGAGCCGAGATCACACCACTGCACTCCAACCTGGGTGACAGAGCAGAGCGAGACCATGTCTCGAAAAAGAAAAAAGAAAGAAATCACTTGTCCCCAGAGACAAACTACCAAAGAGCCAGAGATCCCCTCCTCGCGATGCTTCCTTTGGGAACAGAGAAGAAAAACTGTCCCCCTTCATCTCCCAAAGCCCTTCCAGTGTGCCAGTGAAGCAGGTGCAAGTATTAAGTGCTTGCTGGGTGCACACTCATGCATGCCGTCCCACCATGGGAGGCTAGTGGTTTCAGCCCTACCTGACGGATGAGAAATCTGAGCTCAGAGGGTGACAGGACTTAGCTGAGACACAGCCTGCTTGCATGCCAAAGGCTGGATTAGCACCCAGGCTATGTGACCCACTCCCTCACACCAATCAGCCGGCCTCTCAAGCTGTCTACGTGAGCAGGGCCGGGGCCAGGATGGTCTGCGTGTTGGCAGGAGAGTGCTTCTCAGACCACCCTGAGAAACGGATGCTTGGAGTGGATGTTTGGTTTCTCCTCCTCATACCTATCTGTATCCAGCCCAGCTGCTCCCTTCCCAACTACTGTATTCCACCCCTGGGATCAAATTGTTAGGATGCTTTCCTGCTTTCCAAAAAAAGAAAAACAAAAACTAAGTCTAACTTAAACTTAAAAGTCTATTTATTCATTTCACCGCCTCTCCTATTCCTCATTCGTACCTCCATTCGCACCTCCGTGTCATAGCCATTATTAGAAATCAGGGGGCGTGGCCGGGCGCGGTGGCTCATGCCTGTAACC